CCTAACACTAGTGACAAATCTATGTTTGGGTTAGTGGGATATGGGGAAATTTTGTTTGTCTCATTGAGTTCCTTCTTTGTTGCCCTAAAAAAAGAAGTATTGACATTGTCTTTGATTGTTGACCAAAGAATAATCTCATAGAGAAATTCAATTAGAAGAACAATTTCCAACTCAACTTTATGCTATGAAGTTTTAGCGACCTTAACATCTAGGAAACATTAAAATCACTCGGAAATATTATTCACCATAAAGAATGACTTGAGTCTTAGATAAATTTTTTTGGGTGTTACAATACAACTCAAGAACGATGTTGTTGTGGAGCTAAGCATCTTTTTTTTGCAGTTATTTGAAAACAAAGGAAGTTTAGGCATGGAGTAAGAATAAAAATACCATGCGTAGGGTAATATGACTACTAGTTGTTAGGCTTATGATAGAATATGATAGAATCGATAATTCATGTTTTGATGATAGGCAAGAAGCGCAAATAATCAGTAGCAATTGTACGCAGCAAAAGAAGCCAAGCTCGAGTCCAAGATCGAGTAAAATGGGTCAGCCACGTAATCAAGAAAATAGAGTTATTTGTCCAAGCCAAAAATAATATATTAAAGGTATAAGTTGATACAAATAAGGAAAACCTTAAATATATTATTAAGGAAGGAAGTTGTATATAATAAGGATTGTACTTTAAAAGGGAATCCTTGTTTAACAATAATTTCCTTACCTTATCTGATAAGGATTTAAGGCAAAAGGAACTCTATAAAAAGAGGACGATGCTGATGAAGAATTCCACGACTTCACATAGAGAGAAAAGGGAGAATTATTCATCAAACTGAAGTCTTCAAGATTGATAGATTTGCCAGGTTTTTCCTTTCTTGAGTGAGAAGGTTTTTAACGTGTAGAACTATTTTCTTGTTTTGTTCTTAATTATAATTTACAGTTTATTACACACAGGGTGGACTTGGCTCTTTGTAGGGTTGAGTGTTAGTAAGAGTTGTAACAAAAGGTGGATTTGGCCTTTTGGAGAGATCGATTGGAGTCAATCGAGGGAGTAGTAGAGATAAGACTTTTGATTATTGAATTGTAATCACAAAATCTTATAGTTGAATTAATAAAATGAGGGTTTTTCTTCCTTAAGTGAGGAAGGTTTTTAATTCAATAAGTATTTGTGTCTTTACTTAAAAGCAACTTACACGATCCTGGTTCTTGTTCTGGGGTAAGGATTCTTCAATTGGTATCAGAGCAGGTCTTTTTGATAAACGATTCACACCTTGAAAAGACTCAATGGCAGCACCACCTACCCCACAAGAGGGAGCTTCACAAACATGACCCCCACTGTTCAATGACAAATATTATGGATGGTGGAAAAATCGTATGATGGACCATCTTATTGGCGAAAACCCTGATCTATGGGGAGTAATTCTAGATGGCCCAACCATATCTATGAAAACTGCAACTGATGGAATCACCAAAATCCCAAAGGGAAGAAAAGAATGGAATGCTGAAGACAAGCTTGCAATCCAAAACAATGCCAAAGCCAAGAAAATTTTGATCTGTGGCATAGGACCAAACGAATACAATTGAATCTCGTCCTGTAAAGATGCCAAATCCATATGGGAAACACTACAAACCACTCATGAAGGAACAACGCAAGTCAAGAAGTCCAAAATTGATAACTTGAACATGCAATATGAGCTGTTCAGGATGACAGAAGGGGAGACTATTCAAGACATGCATACCAGGTTCACCTCCATCATCAATGAGATGTACTCCTTGGGAGAGATAGTTCCTAATGGAAAGGCAGTAAGGAAACTCTTGAGTGTCCTTCTTGAAACTTGGGAAAGTAAAGTCGAGGCTATCAGTGAAGCCCCCGACCTAGACTCACGAGCCATGGATGAGTTGATTGGTAATCTCATCACATACGAACTCAAGAAAAACCAAGAAAAGGAAATTGGAGGAAAAAGAAAGGAAAGGAACCTGGTTCGAAAGGCTACTACATCAGATGATTTTGAAGATGAAAATATTGCCCTCATAACCAAAAGGTTCACCAGAATGCTAAAGAGAGGGCAGACCTTTCAAAAGAAAACTTCTCAAAAACCATCTGAAAACACTAAAGACCAGGTTTGTCATAAGTGTGGGAGCCCAGATCACTTCATCAATTTTTGTCCACTTTGGGCTTTAGAGCAGAAAAAGGAAAACTTTGAGAAGGGCAAAGACATCAAGAATGATAAGTACATTCCCACAAATAGAAGAATGACCAATCAAGAAGCGGATCTTTCAACGAGAAGAGCCTTTGCCGCTATGGGGGACTTATCTGAAGAAGAATTTGAGGATGGAGGGTTCGAAAATCAGTCACTACTTGCAATAGAACAATCAAATAAATATGATTTTCTTGCACTCATTGCTGAAACAGATTCTGAAGATGATGAAGAAGATGACAATCAAAGCAAGGTAAGTTTTCATCAGCTTAGAAACACACGTTAACTGTTGCTCAAGTTATCTCCTTCAATACCCCTTTATTTTGTGCATTTTCTTTTGCAAGTAGGTGATGTTCCATGAACTGTTGCAGGTCCTTTCTTGAATTTAGATGCTGGTAAAGACTTTTCATCCATAGAAGCAAGATTAACAAACAATTTTTGCAGTGATTTTGAAGTTCCTTGTAGTCGTAATGGTTGGGGTGCATCATGTTTTTCAACATATCTTGTAAAACTAATAGTATGCTTAATGATATATTTGTGTGTTTGAAATATGTTTACTAATATGTCCTTTTATGTTTGGACTATAATGTACATGTCAATTAGTCATTGATATATAAATTTTAATATAACTAGTAGAATTCTGTAAAAAGTTTACTATGTTCATGAACTGCCGGGGTTTACGACTCTCAGACTCACAAATAGTTGGGGTTTCGATTCCAAAAATATGAAACACATGTTTATTGATATCAATTTGGGGGATTCAAAACCCCTGCGAATAACCCCCTGCGACTGGTACCAGGGGTTGGTGAAAAACTCCTGGGACTTAATTGTGGCAGACCTAACAGCAGGGGTTTTTGCAACTGCCGAAACAACAAATTGTGGGGGTTACTGACTGCCGCAATATATAATTTTATCCCCGCAATTTGGACTTTTTTTTGTGGCGAGTAACTTAACCAATAATGATAAACTACTCTAAGTGATTTTTTTTGACACAAAAGAGATTACGTCAAGCTCAAAATGTTGCAGCTAATCAACGATACCAAATAAGGTAAACATTTAGACAGAAAAAATAGTAGAAAATCAAAGTTAATGTCAAATGCCTAACCAAACAGAGGTAGTAAGCGGGAAATCAGACAAAGAACAAGATGAAGTCACAAACAATTAAATGTTGCCAACTCAAGTTAAAATCTAACATTTTCAATCGAACATTAAATTGCATTAAGACGGAGCCTCGCTATGTGTGTATAACTAAGTATATCTCAAGCTAGCATAAGAAAATCACATAACATGAAGAGTGTGTTTGGTATGAAGGAAAACATTTTCCAGAAAATGTTTTCCAATTTTCTCATGTTTGGTTGGGGCAAAAGTTTTGGAAAATGTTTTCCAAATCAACTCATTTTCCTTAAAATTAAGGAAAATGACTTCCCTTCAAAAATTAAGGAAAACATTTTCCAAATCTCTTCTTCAATTTCAAATTACATTTTTTTTTGAAAAAAATCATTTAAAAAAAATAAAAATATTTTCAATTTCAAAATTTTATTTTTCACCCGATCCCTGACCACCCTCCCCAAAAAAATAATTTTGCTTTTTAATAATTTTTTCAACTTCAAATTTTTATTTTTAAACTCCTACCTCCCCCTAGCCAGACCCCCTATCCACCCCTACCAGCCCTCCCACCCCCAACCCCAAACACTCAAAAAATTAATTTTATTTTTTAAAAATACTATCAACTTCAAAAAAAAAAATTCACTCCTACCCCCTCCCCTGTTTCCCCCCACTGTCACCACCCCACCCCAAAAAAAATTGTTTTACAAAAAAATTTCAATTTATAAATTATTTTCTACTCTAATAAAAATAAAAGATGTTCCTCAAAAATATTTTTCATTCATAAATCAAACACTAAAAATCATTTCCGAAAAATATTTTCTACACACCAACCAAACATGAGAAAATAAGTCTAAAATCTACTTGTTTTCCAGGAAAACATTTTCCATGGAAAACATCTTCCTTCATACCAAACACACCCAAAATGAACAATGTGTAAGCTAATGGAGAGTAGCTAACTTACTCATGCCCTTTTGAAACGGTAAAAAGCTTTTGCGGAACAAAGAGATTTCTAACAACTGATTATCGCTGAGAATCAACATACAGACTCATACAACCCAAAAAAAATCAAAAGGAAACAAGGAGCGGGGAATTTAGCATTTTCGATGACAAGATAACATCAACAAAGTAGAGCAAAGACTCTAGCTCCATGAAATATGGAGTCCATTATTGTTTGACTTGAATAAGCTAATATTTCCATACTTAACAATAATAATAATAATAATAATAATAATAATAATAATAAAAAGGGAATAAGCATTAACTTTGAAGAAAGCACATGAGCTGGAGTAAGAGGGAATCCTACAGATCAACATGGACTCACATGTACTGGAAGATGAGAAGCCTAGGAAGAGGAGGAAATAATGAAAAAAAACCTATAACGTGCTAACAAAAGAAAAACAACTATGACTAGAAGAAAGTTGCAGCAAAACTCAACTAGAGAAATATGAAGATCACAATATTGAGTACAAGTTCGCAAAAACATTAACTTGAAATTGCAACCAACTCGATGAAGCGACTAAAAACATATTCATCATATCAAAACATTAGGAATTAAACAACAAACTAACAACTAACCAAACACAAAATAAAAGCTTTTCAGACGTTTAAAGTTGTTTCAAGATAGAAGGAGAGGTAGGAAGACATAACTTGTTTCGGGAAGCAAGCAGGTACAAGCGATTGAGAAGAAGATCATCTTACCACGAGAACTCGACCATGAGCGACAATCAAAGATTGAAGCAAAAAATGCAACCCACACACTAAAAATATGGTATCCTTTGCTTTTCGAAATGTATTTAGTGTGTATTTAGAGTATTTTTGCTCAAGTTTTCTTCATATTTTCTTGCTAGGTAAAAATCCAACTAAAAATTATACAACTAAAACAACCCCCCCCCCCCCCAACCCAAATGACTAATGAGCTGCTATGTATAAAAGGGAAAATCTAGGGTTCCCAAATAATGGATGAGAGGGTCCAATTCGAAATTCAAAACCATTCACCAACTACGGTAGACCTACTTTTCTGAGTTTTCAACCTATTCAAAAAGAGGAAAGGGGGAAGCAGACGGACCCGATCGACTCTATTGTCCTTGAGGCGAGACGTGTTTTGATCTCAAAGCCCCAGGGACAAAACGCGTGACATGCCTCCTGCGATGTGTTAACTTGAAAGGGACGCGGGAGGAAGATGACAATATATGTTGTTCTCTGCTTCAACCTTTGTTGCATCTTTGTTATTTCTTTGGGAATTCTACGTAGCTGGCTAGAAAGAATGGGGCTGCTGTAAATAAAAAAAAAACGGCCCAACAATGGTTTTGCAATTAAGTTAAGGAAACGATTATACAAAATTGGAAAAATTACATAAATTAATACATTTTAGAAAAAAATAACTGATTTAAGCGATATTTTTTGTTTATTACCATTTATAACAATATTGTGATAAATCTATAGTATGTATTAAAAGTGTATTATTTATGTAATATATTTGAATTATAATTGTTGTTGAAATATTTTGTGTTTGTTTGGTAAAAAATAGTCACATTGCATTATAAGTGTACTAAAATGCATTATCCATCATTAAAACTTGTATTATATGTGAATAATAAATTGTTCTTTATAATATATATTAAAGTTGCATTATAGATGAATTAAAAGTGATCAAGTGAAAAAATATATTATTGCTATAAATGGTAAATATTTTTTTATTATATCACATTGATGTAAGTTTTTTTCCCTACAAAATTCTAATGTAATCAAATCAAATTGACATTTTAATCGTATGAGTTTGTTGGTGCTTCAGCTAAAAAAGACTAAATAAGGCGGATTAATAACAAATTAATAAATGATCTTCTTAACCTTAACGATATAAAATAATTAACTTTGATAACGATAAACTAATAACTCAAAAAAATATGTGTATAATTTAAATTAAACTAATATAGTTTTAAAAAATATTTGATAAAATTAAATCTTTTTGAGATGATTTATCGAGTATTTATAAAATAAACTACTTACATAAAAAACATATTTATTATTAAAAAATTATAAAAAACGAACAAACTAACTTCAAATACTTGAAAGGTGTTTTAAGCTTTGTAAAACTAAATATTTTAAATCGTTCAAAGTTTGAAAAGCTCGGTGATAAATTTGTATTGTGGCCGTCCAAAATTGGGTGTCAACAACCGTCCCTCATATAACTTGAATTGATACAAGAAATCAAGGAAAATAAAATTGACTAATCCAATTTTGACCGACCACATCTTCATCTTTGGAAAAGCGATTTGGTACGGACTTAAAGGATTATGGTTGAACCTCGAAAATGAGTTTCCTACATATCTTAGGCTATATGAGAATTCAAGTCAATTGTAGTTTGATACGCTTGATTTAACACATGATTATGAGAGAATTCAGAAGTCAACTCGATACCGAATTATGAGAGGACCGGAATGCTTGGAAATAAGATTTAAGAGCGAATGTTTGAATATAACCGAATTTTGCAACATTGTACCCGCCTACATATCCTTATACCTTAGTAATCAGGTTGTTTGTAATTAAACTCAATCGGTTGAAAATGAAATCTTTTATGCTAGATAGACTTTTGTTATAGAAAAGTAACAAATTAATCGAGTATGAAAAAGAGGCTTGCAGCCTCTTAGCCATGAAGGTGAAGTTCTTCGCATCTATAAGTAAGAACTTACATGAACATAATTTTCAAAGCTCTTGGCGCATTGTCACTTGGATTGGAAAGCTGCTTCTGGTAGATACCAAAATTTTCGGATGCAAAGCTGAAACCAAGAAATCTAAACAAAAACCTACATGACTTCTAGTAGTGGTGTGGTTTAATTTTGATGGAAGTCGTTCCTCAGCTCCCGTCCTAAGAGTTTGGCATTCATCTTTAGACTATGTCCCATTTCAGTGCCAAGAAAAAGTTTAACGTTGTGCTGCATCCTTTTTTACGTCGTCCGCACCTGTGGTTTGTTTGAGAATTCATCCTCTTGGGATGCTCTTGGAAAAGACCGAGATAAAAATCATTAGCGTAAAATGTAATTCAAACTGGGAGAAACGTCTTTTACCATGTAGACACTTAGCTGCTCCCTTCAAATAAGTTACGTTAGTTTTCTTTCAATTTGATGTTGAGCAAATAATTCTTATATCTCATATTTTCCATATAATTCTTCAATGTACTCTTCTTTTAATATGAAGTTATAATAAATAGACTGATATAATATATTCATGGCATTGTTGATGTCGTTCTTGCAAATGAAAATAGCGATGATGATTCTTCATTAGTAAGATGACGATAATACATTGTTAAGACGTGAATCCATTGGTAGGATAATGCTACTACATGATAAGATGATGATGATTCTCCATCGATAGGATGATGATGTTGATACTCCATCGATAGGATGATGATTCTTCATTAATTGGATGATGATAATGATAGGATAGTGATGTTGCTCTATCGATAGGATGATGATGATGATGGTACTCCAATGATAGGATGATGATTCTTTATTGGTAGTATGACGATAATGATATTGCTCCACCGATAAGATAATGATGATGATCTATCGATAGGATGATGATAATGATCCATTGATATGATAATGTTGATCCATTGGTAGGATAATATTGATGATCCATTGATAGGATTATGATTTTCTAATGGTAGGATAATGATAATGAAGATTATATTCGTAGGTAGGATAATATTGGTATATGTCTGTAAGATGAGGATGATAATGCATTAGTAGGATAGTAATTCTGATCCACTGTTAGGATAGTGTTAATGAAAATGTGCCGGTAAAAGGATAACAATCCATTGGTAGGATAGAGATTATGATCCATTGGTAGGATAATATTAATGAAAATCCATTGGAAGGATGATGTAAATGATCCATTGGTAGGATAACGTTAATGATCTATAAGCAGGATAATGTCAATCCATTGGTAGGATAATGCTAATGATCCATTGGTAGGATAATGTTGATCAATTGGTAGGATAATGATAATAAAGATGATAAATATTCGCTGATAGGATGATGTTTATCGATAGATAGGATGACTTCTATCGATAACAAGAAAATATTATGTTTCAACGACAACATATGTGATCTTCTGAATTACAGTATCGTTTCAATCGACAATACAAATAAAAATAACCTTTAGAGTAGTGGTATCATAGCATTCGACAATACAATATAAATGACTCTCTAGTGGTAATTTTATCTTGCCTAGAAATATGATGATGTCCTCCAAGTATCTTTAGTTGATGGAAAACAGTAAAATATCTCTCATCTGGATTTTCATTTGTTCCATCTCAGAACATGGTTGCACATTCATTACGTACCTCACCTTGTTTGGAATTGAATGAAATAATATTATTAATATCTTCGAAATCTTTGATGTACACTGAATAAAATATTTTCTGCATCCACAGAAAAACTGTCAATTTTGGGGAGCTCTTCGCTCTTTTGACTTCTCCCTATCCGTTAAATAAAAGAATATGTTGATTATGAGGTAAACCTATAAACTTGCATGCACAAAAAATGTTTAGTTTAAAATGAAATGATCTTTGCAAATCTCTTCGATTGTCTGCTTGTTGTCTTGCTATATTTGGTAGATTTCTCCAATCTCCCTCCTTTTGATAGATAAGACATAATATTTTTATATTAAAATAATTGAAAAATGGGAAATGTTTTAAAGAAAATAGATTTTAAAAAAGTAGTATTTGCAAAAGCTCATTGTCAACTATCATGAAACGTCAAGCTTAATAAACGTCTTTGAGGTTGATATTTTGAGGTCTATATGAATACTTGTTAGGAATTGTTCAAAGTTGCTCAAAACTGCCGATAAACACTGTCAAAATTTTGAGGTCATCCTCAAAATTTCTATCCAGTTAATTGTCTTAGATTATCTTTAACCTTTGATGAGTAAATCACGGAATTTTTGAGATCCTCTCAAAAATTCTATCCCAATTGTAAATATCAAAGAAACTTCAGCCTTTACTTGTTGAGGAAAAATCTCTTCTTAAGAATTCTTGAGTCCCTCACAAAAATTTTATCCTAGTTTCTACTTTTAAGAGAAATAGAAATGTTACGAGGGATATGACTGAATCGTTGTGCCTCTTACGTATCCCGTTGAGGCAGGAATCAGGTCAAACGTAGTTCCCCCTCAAAGATTAACAAAATAAGAGTTTTACAAAGAAACTGACCCAGGCCGACATAGGACGTCTACGTATCTCATTCTTCAGAATTCAGGTCGAACGTAATTCAAGTACAAAGAAATTTTAAAGGGAAAAATGAGGTAAGCGAGGCCGACATAGGCAGAATACGTATCTCAATCATGAGAATTCAGGTCATACGTAGTTCATTACAAAGGTATAGATTCTAAGCATAAATGATTACAAACTAATAAAGTTGATAACAAGGAAAAGATAGAAAATTGAGCTTTCAAACATGATATCTTTAGACGACATTTGAGTAGATTGATGACTTGTGAGATCTAATGTTCATGCTCAACCATAAAATTTCGTCAAAGAAATGTATTGATGTGCTCGTTAAGCAAACTGATGAGTTCTCTCCTATGCTTTTTTCAGATAGGCACAAATTTTGATTTCTTTGACGCATTCATCATTTTCCTGATTCACTATTCCAATCTATTCTAAATTCGGCTCTTTGTGACTTTCAAACTGTCTGAACTCCTAAACCACGTGTTTGGGTACCATAATCTTCTCATTGTAGTCCTTTAAATCGTCCTCATCTACCCCATTTTGATTATTCAACTTGTGACATGACATAACATTAATAATTTTGAAAACATTTTCACTCAAATCATACACAAATACTATTAGATAACAAATATAAAACAAGGAAAGTAAA